ACTTGGCAATCGTGGGAAAACAGGAAAGAACCCATTTTGAACTTCACAGCATCAATCCATCTGTCTGCAGACAGACTATGCAGATGCACTCAGATTCTATTCTCTCTTGTGGCATTTACAGCTCTAGGGCCTGGGACAGTGGTTCTCAACCTTCCTAATGCCGCAACCCTTTAATTCAGTTCCTCATGTTGTGGTGACTCCCAATTTCATCGTTACAAATTGAACATAATTAAAGCACAGTGATTAATCACAAAAACAATATGTAATTATCTATGTGTTTTCCGATGGTCTTAGGCGACCCCTGTGAAAGGGTCGTTCGACCCCAAAAGGGGTCGTGACCCACAGGTTGAGAACCGCTGGGCTGGGAGGCTAAGTCATTCACTTTACCTGTGGTTTATATCAGTATCCCCCTTTATGTCATCGATGTCTCCCCCTGTTAGCAACTTTGAGTAGGTTTCTGTGCCTTGAAAATAAGCAATCCCTGACAAAAAGGTCACTTTCCTCATCTGTATAAATGAGGAGGGGTTTTCAAATTATGCACCTTGAAGCCCAAGTTGTCACAGGGACGTGTAAGCAGGATGGAAGAAATAACGTAAAGGCACCAACAGCTCCTGGTCCCGCTAGCCCACTTCTCCTCGGACCCCTATTACATGTAGGGTTCTTGTTAGGGATTTCACTCACAAAGTTTCTATTAAAGAAATGAACGTAAACCCTACTCTTCCAGCTCTTATATTGTAGAATTCCGTGGCGTAGACTCATTTCTATCTGTTTTTAGTGATAGTACAACTTCAAGTTATAAGATGAGGGTAGGTCTGAAATCATTGCTCAGGTCATATGTCGAGGCACGTGTCAATCATTATGACATGGTCGTTATAACCCCCTGGCTATCTTCCTGGTTCTCTGACTCTCAGAAGACCTTGCTGAGTCAGTCACTCTGGTCCAGTTGAGGTGCAGAAGTCGTAATGCTTCAAAGATCAACAGCTTCCTCTCCGATACAATTTTGGCACCTATGTTTCCTTCCCTTCTTCTCTCTCTTCCATGTTGTTCAGAAATACAGCCATTTTGTTGAGGGAGCCTCATTTCAGTGGGGTCATGCCTTGGGCAAGGGATTAACAAACTCCTGTGATCTCATCAGTTCAACCATTTCATTTATAGCTGTGTGGACTGGCAGCTTGTTCTTGGCACAGTTCCAGTGGGCATCCATTAATAATTCTGGGGATGTCACATACTCACCAGCCGTAAATGGGAGCGAGGCCTGACGAGATGAAAAAGTAGAATTAGCTGAGAAGAAGGTACTGAACTTTAGCCTCAGGTCATGTGTACTGGTTGCAAGTCGGTGATTTATTAATTTATTTAATGAAAGGATTATTTTCAATAAATAGGAGATCAAATAATTTATTACTTCTTCAAAGGGTCTCTTGATAAAATCTGGAAAAATTGGCATGAAGAAAGAGGACGTCCTGAGTAAAGCTTAACATTAAATCCAAACTGGAATTCTAACGAACGCTTTCCTTTGAAGACTGGGTGTAGGAAAAGGAGCTACTACATCTTGTTCATTACCTTGGGAGAAAATTCCAGGCTTAATTTTATCAATGAAAAGTACAATTTTTCTTATTCATTTGTATGCTTACTTTTACAGATCCCATGCTTAATGGGCCACAGTGTCTTAGAGGCTTCCTCAGACATGTGGTCCACCATCTGAAAATCAGAGCAAAATCATAAATTTCTTTTTTATTGTCTTAAACAACATTAAATGTGACTCATGATTAAAATAGGAAAAGGACATCATTTTAACAGTTAAAAAATCCCCCCCAAAACCCAAAGAGGATACACTTCCTATAGAGGAAATGCTTAAAGAAAATGAGTTCATGTTTATAAATCTCAGAATTTGTGTATAAAAATGTGAAATGAGGAGAATACTATTTATATTTACAATTGAGGCTCAATGAGTGGCGTCTTGGGAATAAAGTTGTTTAAACCCTAAAAAAAAAAAAAAAAAAGAAAGAAAGAAAATGAACCCCCAGCGGACTTCCTTTGGAGCAGAAAACGAAGCTGTGTGTGTGGAAGGAAGGCATCAGATTCCTGGCCAGCGGCTCTTCTCGGGGCTGTTCTTTGTGTCCCAGGGAGACTGTGTGACTGTCCTCCACAACTGTCTTAATTGTATCAGAAGTTTTATTTAAAAAAATGATCTTATCAAAAGGGCAAAGAAGTATCTTCCCTTTTCTTCCCACTGCCCTAAACCTGAGTATGTCCTTCACAGTTACATTTGTGCATGCCAAAACAAACAAAAAAACCCCACACCGCATCCCTTAGCAACTGAGATTATTGTAAGTAGCATACAATGTACAGAATACACGCTCTGTTTTTGTTAAAAAAAATTTGTTGCGGTGAAAAAATATCTGTTTCTCCTATCCTATTTAATGCCATTTCTTTAAGTCATGCAAGCTAACAGAATCCTAGAAGTCCCTTGCTAAATGCCTTTTTCTCCTTCACTCCTCATATGCCATTGGTCATGAATTCATGGAACTTCTTTCTTCTATCATATCGTGTTAGCTCTACTTTTTTTTATCCATACTCTCTGCCATGACCTCCATTTAATAACTTGTTTCTTTCCTGGGACATTGCATTGTCTCTGTAGATAGTCTTTCAGCCTTCCAACTTGCTTTCGCCTTGGCTCCCAGCAAGCCCATCTCTTGGATAGCCTACAGAGATTTTTCTAAAATGCAAATTTGATTATGTTAAAGCTCCGGCTTAAAGTTTTATCAATGGCTTCCCCACTCTCTGAAGAACAAAGTCCAAATTTAGTTTTATGTTATATAATGATTTTGTTGATCTATCTGGCTTTCATCTCTACCCAATCTGGTATTTCCTTCACAGTCATTGTTGCTAAGACTTTAGTCCTTCCAATGCATTTCATCCCACCATTTTATACCTCCATGTTGCTCACTATGGTACCTATTTTTCTATTCTATCTGAAGGACTCCTACTTATACTTTAATACCCAGATCAAATAGTTCTCTTTTTTTGGATCTTACGAACTTCCTTACTTTGCCCTTAAAAACAGAACTGGTCTTTTTCTTTCTTAGTGATACCAGCAAGCCTAGAGTCCATTGCTGTGCTAAAATTGTCTTCCCTTAAAGACTGGGTCATTTTTATCTTGATATATCCTCTGTCTAGCACTGGGCCTGGTATATGGGAGATACTCTATAAATGTTCATTGAGTAAAAAAAAATCCAAGTGTATAGCAAAAAATATTTAAGACTTTTGTTTTCTTCTGCTTAGAAAAATACTATACAACCATTGTAAAAAATTCAGCAAAGATGCAGAGTAGATGGTCTAGTTTTCAAATTGAATCTCTATGCTTTGTGCTTTATTTCCAAGACCTTTGTAAGTCTATTTTCTTTTATTCCTGGGAATTATCCAAGGGGTTTATTCTGTTTCAGAATAGGCCTGTGCTGTTTATTACAATGGCTAACAGAGAAAGGACTCAGCTGTTGTCCTGGACAGCTTCATCAAAGTGCCACTTCAGGTTGGAATCTTGTTCCCACGCCGCAGCCTCTACGATGCCTTGGTAACAGGAAGGTTGAAACAGGATTTCTTTCTCTCACTACTGGAGATGCTGACACTTTGCCATCTTGCAGTGCACTTGAGAGGGCAGGTACTCTACTGCTACATCTCAGGGCTGGTTTATTATGGTATATGGCATATGGTGTACTTATGTGGTTCCATAGTAATGGCCCCTTGCTAGATCTGGTTCGCACTTCTAGAGCCCTAGATTCCTTTTTCTCTTGTGGTGAATTCTCAAGGACACTATTGTCTGCTCTGTTTCTAATTGTGCTCCTCTCAACTCCTTTCTTCACTACCTGCAGACAAGTCTGCATATCTGAGCCCCAATCGTGCATAGAATTCAAATTTATAATCCAGAAGGCTTCTTAGCCTATCCTTTGTAATAGAAAAAAATAAAAAACTGAACTCCACTCAATGAATATACTAATTGTTTGTCCTAATTTGTACCATTAGCTCTCTTAGTCCTAATAAATAATTGACCCATATAACAGAGAAGGTTTGCGGTTAGTTTTGCTAATTATGAAAAACCTCTGAAGGATGTTGGATTAGAGTCTGATAGTAGACATATATTTTGCTCCTTGGAGAACTAATTCATGGTCTGCTTTTGTCAGTGTATTAAGGTAACTTCAACTGAGTGGTACGTAAGTTGGATAGAGAAATTGGAATTGACTTTTCCCCCTGGATAGCCTGGGTTTTCTTTTGCCTGGCTGCGTATCTGTTATTATTCTGTTGCTTTACTTGTGTAGACATAGTCTGTGTGTTTTTGAGGTGGGTGTTCCATGAATCACACCCAGTTACAGGAAAATGAGTTCTTTAACAACACTCATAACACTGTATATATCTGTGTGGTAGATCCAGATAATACATTTTTTTATGGCTCATGATACCTTTTAATGAGTAGCAAGTACTGGTATTTCAAGGTCTTTATTATTTACTAGAGGCCCGATGCACGAATTCATGCACGGGTGGGATCCCTCAGGTTGGCCTATGGAGATCAGTCCCCAGATCATGTCCCCAGCCTCGCAGCCCCACAGCCCTGCCTGGTACCCCACCTTGGCCTGGTGCCGCCCGCTCACTTGCTCCACCACCCTGCCACGGTCCTGCTTTCGTTGGGGCCCACTGGGCCAGCAGCGCCTCCACTGCTGCTGGCTGCCAGCACTGCATTGCCGACGCCTGCCATGTTCCGTGCTGCCTGCTGCTGATCAGCGCACATCATAGCGAGTGGCCGAACTCCCGGTCCAACAACCACCCGACGGGATAATTTGCGTATTAGGCTTTTGTTATATAGGAAGGATAATACTATGTAGTCTGGCAAATCAGGTGTGATTATTCAACTTTACTGAAAATAGAGAATGTGCTGAGATTATTTTATTTCTTGCTTTGAATCAACTCTGATATACACATATTTTGAACTCATCACTCAGAAACACAGATATATTAAGACCCTCAGTAGTTATTTTTATTAAGCAAATACAAATTGGAAATATTTATGATAAAATATATCAAATTTGAACAAAAATGTTGTAAACAGTAATTCTACAACTGGGAAGACATCTCAATCTTGTTAAGTTTGGTCACATCTTCCCAACCATGTCTAATCTTCAGTATCTTCTTTCTCAAGCATGGCAGGAATAGTATAGCTTTACATACCAGGACAACAATTGGAAGGAAAACAGCTATCATAAAACTTGGAGGTGTATACCACACAAATTGCTTTATATCAACCCATTTATTCCAGGCAAAAATCAATGCATGTATTGTGCCCAGTAGAAGGGCAACAATTCCTAGCTTGCTCTGCAAAAGAAAAAAAAAAATTATCTTGGTGAAGATTCGTTCCAAAAGAGTTTATTCCATAGTACTTAATCTGGATCTGTTCTGTTGCTAGGAAATTCTTCCATTCACCTCTAATGGTTTTCCCATTACATTTCTTAACAATGTCCACTCACACCTTTCCATTCTTTTTAACATGTCCCCACGTTACTCCTACTTTTGGGTAATGCCTCTGTCTCCAGGCTATTTAAATTAAGAACATCCACAACCCTCTTCCTTTCCGTCTCAGCCAGTCAATAACACTGTCTTCCCTTTCTCCACACTTTGTTCATCTCTCTTAGGACATTTATTTTGTGATCGTTTGTCTCTTGTGCATTCGCCTTAATTCTGCCTATCAGGAGACATCTAAAACCAGGGGCCCTCTTACTCATCACAGGACCCCTACAGAAGCAACACAATGAGCCTTTTAGGTGCCCAGCAAAGAGTGGTGGGTTGACTGAAGATTAGTGCAAAAATCAATTCGACCTCAGTGATCTTTATTAATTGCGAAGGCGACCAAAGTGATTGACTTTGATTTTGGTATCTGAATACTAAAACAAATGATCTTGGCCTATGTTAAAAAAATCAAACATTCTGATAAAGTGGGACAATACCAACAATCATTTCAATGTTTGAACAAGACATAGAGATAATGAAGATGTGGAGAAAAATTTCAGCTAGCATTGGGATACTTGGCACCATCCCGATAAAGTTGCTTAAAAATAGTTGTTCACCTAAATAATTTTACGGCATCCTGACGATAGCTCTTCTAGATAACTTTTGACTTCTATTCACTTACTGGAAATGGTCATTAGCCTGCCAGGAGAAATCCAACTCACAATTATTGAGCAGTAAGTACCCTTAAACCCCAATGAATACAAATAGTTAAGTTTCTATTTTCAGATAAAAATCTCCAACATAAATTGGAGAGTAATCAGTTCTTGGACTGTAAATGAGAAGTTTCTAGGTTATTAATTGAAAAAATACATGTGACTTGTTGAAGATTAATTTTACCAAATGTGTATTATGTACTTATTATGAAGTAGGCGTTGTGCATGTAGTGAAATGGGCTTAGTTGTCAAGACGCAGTGCTTGCATTCCTGATTCGATCTGAGCAGTGGTGCTCAGCATGTGTGTGGAAAGTTATTAATGAGGAGCAGGGAACTCCAGTGGCTATCAGGCTGAACCTACAAAATCAACAAACACTGCACTTGGAAAACATGGCACCATTTCTAAGCCACAGTGGAATGACTCAGATGGAGACTTGCTTTTCAGCCTAATCAGATGCCCTGATAAAGTGTTTGTGGGAGTATGACCATGTACAAAGGATAGTAGGGAATGTCTGATTTTGTGGGAATTTACAAAGATGTCTACCCATACAAGGTAAAGCTATAAAATTTTAAAAATCTTGGCAGTGCTTATGGCTTAATTAATTTTAGTCCTTTGAATCTTGTCTGACATAAATCCCCTTGTGAATTCTGGCACATAGCTCTTTTTATGGTGTAATCTACTACTAGGAGATTAACCTCAGTAAATCTGAAATGGTTTGAATTCCAAGAATATTGAGTAGCTTCACGTGAGTAAGCTACATAAAATGTAATTTGGAAAAAGCAGCATTTACAATTAGGTATTAGAATACCTTTGGTAGATATAACTCCATATTTCAAGGAGAGATGCTTTTTTATGGATAGTACAAAGCTATGTAACTTAAAAGGGATGAATAAAATTAGATGCTAGGCAAGAGAATATTTTTATTTTGGGGGGGAAGTAAAAAACCCCATAAATATTAAATTTCTAAAATATCACATTTAAAATTATTAGATGGATAGCTAACACATTTCAAATGTTAGAAATACTTCTCTTTGAGTAATAGCTTTTATTTATATCTAGGAAACACTTCTATTTAGCAGCAATAGGGAAAAATTATAGGAGCGCACAGTATTAATGGGAACAAGTGGTAGGATCTTGGCTACTGGCAAACCATTTGTTATTTTCTATGGGGTAAAGTCAGTATACTTGATGATATTATAAGCACGAAAAGATTGACCGCTCTGAGGGAACAGACACATTTTATACATCATTTACCTGAATATAGTGAAATTCTCTCCATGTCAAAGAGTCACTCACAGATGGAATAGATGTCACTGCCAACAGAGCCAGGATTGCAAGTGCCACGATTCCCAGAGACACATACATTTCCATTCTCCAAACATCATGCTCAATCCAGGCATCTTCTTTCTTTTGTTGGACCTACCAGAGGGTGAAAAGAGGAATGAATGTAAAGAACACCTAGTTCCCGCACATGAACCCCCTCCTACACTCACTCTGGCTGCTATGGAGGGCCTGATAACTGGGGCCTCTACACAATTATGACTTGTTTTTGCATTCCTCTGAAAGAAATGACATAGGAACTATTAATCACTTTCTTGAATGCAACATTGATGTAACCGTTTCATTTATATAATAATTATGGTTAGAACTGTAATGTGCAGGCACACGGGGTAAATAAACAGAAAATAAGAAAAATGAGCATTAAAAGTAATCTCGTGAGGGTGATAGAAAATGGAAATGTGGCTGTGTCCATGAACACAATACTTGTTTGCATTGTTAAAGTTGTAGTTTAAATTTTCAGCTTAAAATATATTCCTCGATGTAAAACTATACAGCCAAGCCCCAATAAAGGGTTAATAATAAAACATTTTAAAATGCAGATTACTTTCTCAGCACAGGGTTTCAACAGGGGTTTGAGGTGTTGATATTAACATGACAAAGAGTTAATCTGTTAGGTGACTTAGACTTTTTGGTTAAGTGATATTGTCGATCTCATCATCCTACCTGTTGATACGCCCAGTTCAGCAACTTGTACCTGTAGGATCGCCTCATTGGATAGGATAAACTATAAATTGCATGCAATACAGCAAAAAAGAAACTGAGCAGCCCAAACTGCTTCCTTGTTAACATCCACCTATCCAACCAATGTGGAAATTTCTTATACTTGGTTCCATTACGGAGCTGTACAGCTGCTGCTATCACACCTGGCAAATACACCAGCGCCAAGAGGGTGATGGAAACCATGGGCAAGACTTTGTTGATGACCAGGATTGGAATTTTATAAAACCACTGTTGATGGGAAGTTACAAGAGGGTGAATTACTTCCCTCAGAAGAGTGTAGAGAAAAGTCAGAGAGGATATGACAGCAGCAATTTTAATTGGCAAGCGCCATTCTGGGAAGAGCTCCTGTTTGCACTGAAGCTTTTGGGGACAGTCAAAGTCATCAAAATGGGCTGTTTGGTCCAAGTGCAAAAGCACAGGTCTTTTCAGCATGCTGGTCTCTCCTGAGTTCTTATTCTACGAAGAAAAGAAAACAAACATCTTAAAATTTAAACAACGAGATTTCCTTGAACGAATTATTTATTGCTCATTGTGCTTTTCAGTTAAAATGGACATTCAGAACCTTGTTTTTGGATACTGGTTTTAGCTGAAGAGATGGCATAGTCTATGTAGCACTGATCAAAGGTGCACGTAGCTACTTTGGAGTTCTCTATTAGTTTCTGTTGCTCATTTTTCAAAATAAATACATGCTTCAGATATCTCCACTAAAGCTTAGGCCATGTGCTTCTGTCTTGAAGGCATAAAAGGATGCAATAATGCAACTGGGAAACTAAAATTGAAAACTAAAAAACATCCAGTAATCTTTGGTAAAAATAGTAACAGTTGTAAATTGTAACAGTTGTATGTATTTTAAAATATTTTTATTGGTTACTGGGTAACTCTTGGCAAAAAACTGAAGAGTGAATTCTTCATTAATTCAAGTGCAGGAGATTAAGACTTATATGGTCATTACTATTAGAAAAAAATTTATAATTTCCGTCATAGTAGTCTTAAACCTTGATTTTATATTTCTAAATTATCTCATTGGTGTAAGTAACCATGGACAAATAGTCTATTAGAAGTACAAAGGCTATATAAGTAGTTAAATCTCATAGGGATGATCTATTTCTTGAGAAAGTTATACTTCTTTACTCAGTTGTATTTCTAGTTAGTCAACAATTCCAAAGAAGGTTACATTGAATATTTAGTCATTTCCACAATTGACTGCTATATCAGCAAATCAAAAAACAAAACAAAAAAACTCAAAATGAGAAATTATATCAGTGTTTCTTTATTGTGTTACTTTATGAATTTACTTTCTCACCCAATATGTATTACTCATTTCTTATAGCTCTATATGTAGAACCTTAGCATTTTAGTGCTCAACATGTTAGTGAGTAACTTGCTCATCTCCTCATTTTATGGATGGTAACTTTACTTCACACAGTTCTCTATAATTTTTGGTGTTTAAAAATAACCTCTCACCATTTGACTTTAACTTCCAGTAATAAATCACTATTACATCCAATGTCTTTTCCAATTACTCCAGTTAGAAGGGAGTTGAGCATGATGCAGCATCTGTCATCTCTTCACATTAAAACACTCTAAGTACAATCAACCGAAATCAATTTTCTGGTTAAGGGTAAAGAGTTACGGAACAGGAAATAGGGCAGTTAACTTGGAAAATAAAAATGATTTCATTTTATGTACACTTATTTTATAAAGTGTGTGCTTATATCTTAATTATTTTGCTTATTAAAATAATTAAGGTAAAATATATAATTTCTGTTAAAACTGAGTTGAGATCATTTAGAAAGGTAAAAAGAGTTTAAAACAAAAAATTTCCACCACTTTTTCAGTTGATAATGTAGTCAGAAACGTTTTATCTTGAGGTAGGGAAAAGTGGGACCAGTGGTTCTTATTCTAAAATTGAATGCATTTGGTTAAACAGTGAACATTAATTAACTTGATGATCTCTTGGTAAGCTGCCATGGTGCCCATTAAAAAACGCATGCTTGCACAACTGTCATATGGGCACTGGCGATTCTTTTGAAACAGACTCATTGAGGATGTTAGAAAACATTGGTAGGGCGTTGGAGATGATATGGTCTAACTCTCTCACTTTACAGATAGACTAAGACCCAGGGTTTTCAGTGACTCATTCAAGGTTATTCAGCTAAGTCCATGGCAGTCAGTCAAGGTACAATTTCTCTCCTATACGTCACTGACCTGCACCCATCACAACATCAGTGACATGAATCAGTGAAAATATCAGCAGACGAGGGTGAAAAATCACTCTTACAGCACCATGAGATATAGAATAGCATTTGAGTTATGTTTATGGATTTTAATTATTATTTTACCAAATAGTCATCTTCTTCTAGACTTCTCCTAGGCTTCATTTTCCAAAGTTCTTGGTTTGCGATGTTTTGTTGGATTTCCATTAATTCTATAAAATATTGCTTCAGCCACCTATGAAAATAAAAATAATTATCTTCTGCAAGTCTATGCTCTTTATGATATTGACAGGGCAACATGAGCAGTTTCCTGTGGGGAACGGCTACAGTGTTTGGACAGGTTCAAGCCTTGGACTGAGGAGAGGGCACAGTCCTCTCATTGCCACGTGCAAGTCCCAGCTTGGAGGGCAGAGCCTTCCCTGCACAATTATAGCCAACAGCTGTAGCTGTAAGCTTGAACCTGTGGTCCAAACACGTGGCCCCACGTGTCTGAGTGATGTGGGCTTGACAGAGTTCAGGTGCATGAAACTGAGCAGGATCGAAACCAATGAGAATGTTGCAAACATCTTGACCACGCCCTTACTTTGCCTCGTGGCATCTGCTATAAAATAAAGACATGGCTTGTGGGTGTTGGTCGCTGTCTCTCAGAGAAGCAGCATACCACCGAGACCCAGCTTTCATTCTCTTGTCTGTCTTGTCTAAGCCTCTCAGCCGCCCCACTCAGGTTCACCCTTGGCCTTGCTGGCACGGCACAGTTTCCTCATATGAGGACTACAGCGGCAGATAAGATATAATTAAAATACAGTTAGTGACTGATTTACACATTAAACTTTACATTATAATCTCCATCCAGGGCCCTTGTGTCAAGAGAAACTGCTTTACTTTGTCCAACTAGCGGTACAATGTATGACCTAGGTGTCTACTAGTATATGAAATTCAAATGGTTGGATGTTGCCTTTTGTTTAGGGGAATTTAACTCCAGGTGCTCATTTAGAAGAATGCCAACTCCCCTCAAAGGTAAATAGAATTAGGAATGCATTTTTTTCTGAGAGTAATAATGTTATCAATGGAAGCTGGAGTTTGCTGGTGTAAGATCAGGAAGTTGTATTTTTGGGGGTTGACACTAGAATTTGAAGTAATAATTAAATGATTTTATGGGCAAATTTTTTGAGTTTCAGACAATGAATAAAATGGACACTCTCGGGAAGGTGAACTCTGATAGTGGCACAAAGGAATGAAAGGTGGTATTTTCAGAGTAACAGACTGGTTTTTGTTGGTAAAACACACATTGCTGGTATTTCCACTGGGGTTATTGAGCTTTGTTCAATCACTGACATGCCCCTATTCTGATCAACCCTGTGGAAACTAACTTTGTCCAACTTCCTACCCTATAAAGGACTGTTTTCCTAAATACCCAACAGAACTTCATTCAGGCTTGGTGTAACATTTTTTAGGAAAGAGAAACATATAATGTCACAATATTATTCATTGTTTTTATTTGTTCTAAATGTATTTCCAGAGGAATACATCTCCAATTTGTACTTTGTGAAATTCAATGAGTAAAGCAGATTAGATATATAACAATTTGACTGAGAGAAAACATTCTAAATGTTTCTGAATTTTAGAGCACCTGCAACACTTCATTGAATGGAAAGCTGTTGCCAGGAATAGTTTAAAATACTTAAAGCACTCTCCAACTTTTAAAGGTTTGATCTTCACAAAGAATGAGGAAGAGCGCCGAAACCGGTTTGGCTCAGTGGATAGAGCGTCAGCCTGCGGACTGGGGGGTCCCGGGTTCGATTCCGGTCAGGGGCATGTGCCTGGGTTGCGGGCATATCCCCAGTGGGAGATGTGCAGGAGGCAGCTGATCGATGTTTCTCTCTCATCGATGTTTCTAACTCTCTATCTCTCTCCCTTCCTCTCTGTAAAAAATCAATAAGATATATTTAAAAAAAAAAAAAAAAAAAAAAAGAATGAGGAAGAGCGCCCTAGCTGGTTTGGCTAGGTGGATAGAGCGTCGGCCTGCGGACTCAAGGGTCTCAGGTTCGATTCTGGCCGGGGGGCATGGGCCTTGGTTGTGGGGACATCCCCAGTGGGGAGTGTCCAGGAGGCAGCTGATGTTTCTGGCTCTCTATCCCTCTCCCTTCCTCTCTGTAAAAATTCAATAAAAACAAAACAAAAAAGAATGAAGAGCCATCTTTACATAGTTCCACCATTTGCCCTTGTTGAAGCACTCTGCGAACATTTTCCATATATTATTCATTTTCAAGTTTCACAATATTCATGCTGAGGATATTTTTTTAGTCTGTCCACCTTGACTGGCATTGAACTCGGAACCCTTCAGTCCACCGGCCGAAGCTCTATCCACTGAGCCAAACCAGCTAGGCCTCCCCCTTTTTTTTTTGAGTAAATACCTTTATTACATGAGCTAAGATAGGAGGGAAGAGGATTTCTTTGCCTTTCTGGGCCTTGATTTTCCTTAGAATGCTAGTTCCGTGCCCTCTAGCACACAGCCATCTAGTCTTGAAGCGATGCATGAAAGAAGTTTGCCCGCTGGTCCTGTTCCTTGAGAAGACTGCTGATTTTGGCATCCTTTCTCCTTTCATCATATTTCTTCTGAATTCTCTTTGATCTTTTTTTTGTTTAAAATCTCTTTCTCCTCAATAGTCAGCTTGGCCCCCTTCTTGTGGCCCAAGGACAGTGCCTGGTGGGACTCATACCACTGTCAGTACGGTGTGCTGTCAGTGAGCACGATGCAGTTCCTTACTAGGGTCTTTACCAGTTAGTTCATTGCTGGATGCATTGTAGACATCAATAATCCTTGTTTTGCGAGTCGAATACTCTGAGCCCCAGAAGTTGCCCCTGTCCAGCCTCAAGGCTCGGTACTTCTTGTTGCCTCCCCGCACGTGGACTGTGTGTATGCAGCGGGGTCCAATCTTCGTGCTGGCAGCAGGGCGTCCCAGTTCATATTTTCACTTCTCACGGTAGGCCTCTCTCTCGCCCCCAGTCTTGCAGCGCTTGTGCCAGCTGACCCTAGAGATGCCTGTGGTTTGGTGCTGGCTGAAAAGAGCCCATTTAAAAAAAAAATTATATAAAAAATTTCCTCCATTTGGAGAAATGCTCTTCCTTTGGCCATAGAAGTGGGCATATGACTCAGTCTGGGCTATTCCCAGTTCTCTATTCCTCTGATCACATTGATTGGTTTAGGGATGGCACACTAGTACAAGCCCTGCTGAACCAGTCAGATCCTCCTTTGAGATTTATACATGGAAGTGGAAGATAAAGAGGACATGTCTAACACATGAAGTTGGGAGGATGGAAACCTACCACTTCCTTCCCCATGCCGTGAGGGGGAAGATGCCTTCAATAGGATGGAGGACAGACCAAACACAGAAGCACAAGCCAGAAATAGGCACGCAGAAGAGGTCCAGTGGTATACTTTGAGTATTTAGATTCCCTGAGAGATGATACTGATATTTTCAGTTACACAGGCTAATACATCCTCTTTCTTTTGCTTGTTAGTTTGACTTGGGTTTATAGCATTGGCATTTGAAAGAGTTCTGAGTAAAGCACATGCCAAGCATCTAGTATTCATGACCTCAACCCTGTGATGGACACTGAGGAGGGAAAGAAAAATGAGACTTCATGCCAGCTCTGGGGGAGCTTATGGTATTTTTCCTTAAACAGTATTACTCCAAATCATCTGGTGATTTAGGTAACATTATAAGGAGAACCAAAGGCCCAGTGCACGGGTGGGGTTGGGCCGGGCTATCCCATGGGGGCCGATCTGGCCGGGCCGGTGAGGGGAGGGATGCGAGGGGAGGGATGCCGGAGGTTGGCTGGCTGCCCCCTACCCTGCTACCCTGATCGGGGTGAGGGGCCAATCGGGGCCCAGCTGGCAGGGGGTGGAAGGGGGTGCTGTGGGAGGTCAGCCGGCCCTGCCCCCGATGGGGAGGGGGAGCGGGGCTGAGTATATAGCCATTCATCTGCATGGGAGCGAGACCATGCTGAAGAGCAAAGCCAAGGAAAAGCCCAGGGCAGTGAGTGAGGTGGCCTGTTGACTGTGTGGCCCACAGTCAACTTTGTGCCCAGAAGCCAAGAAAATGTCAGTCGAGTAAACTATGGTGGTTTCCATCAGACATTAACCAAATATATAATTTAAATTCCACAGTGAAATCTTCTCATGAAAATAAATAAATAAATAAATAAATAAATAAATAAATACAGGAAACAGCGCAGTGTTCAGATATTAGGAACTCCCGAATTTGACCCAAAGTTCTCTTTCATCCCCATTAAAAAAGCAAAGCATATTTCTTGATGTGACTGCTCCATTTTGCTGTAACAGGACTGCTGACCTCATGTTCCTGCTAAATATTGACATAGCCCAACTGACTCATGTTTATGTCGAAGAGTTTAGAATATGAAGAAACTCAATGACTGGAATACATTGTGGGTTGCTTTGCAATTCCAAACTGATACTTTCAGTGGACACTTTTGTTACCACGTTTAACTACTGAAGGGGAGATGTTTTTCTTCCCTGGGCTGCTATTCTTAAGCACTGCATCTGCCCTGTGCTAAATGAATGACTTATTAAACGTCAGGATGTTGAGAGAAATATATATATATATTAAAAAGAACAGAGTAAGAAATCTGAAAGTGTTCGTATATTTTATCTCTGCAATCCCCTCCAAGTGGATTTGACCCAGGACGAAAATAAAGCCTTGATTGGCTGTTTGGAGGGAATCTGTACCCCAATCCAGATCCTGAAAGAGGAGGACTAATGTTCCAAGGATTTAAAAACTTCCTGTTACTAGGAAACGCGAAGACCAGCGGCGCGATTTTAAGCACTGTGTACCAACCATTCATCAATGCCAGGCAAACCCACGGCGATTTTGCCAAGTTGGCAAACTTGCCGTCAGAACCCAACCTAATAGTAAACTGCATAGCGCATCATTTCCCCCGATCCCCCAGCGAAAAGGCTTCCTGATGAGTGTCTGGCTCCCGCCCCGGGACCGGTCCCAGCGGAGCGGTGTGCTGCGCGGGGGGCCGGCTGTCCGGCAGCGCAGCGCGCCCCGCACAGGCGCTCACGGGCGAGTGGAGCCGCGCTCGCCCGGAGCGCCGCCGCCCGGTCCCGCGCCGGCTCGCACCCCGCGGCGGCCCGAGGCTGGAAGCCGGCGACCAGCCGGGATGATTCAAGGGACTTACCCGCTTCCCGGCGCGACCCGACGGTTAAGTGGCGGCCGCGAAGCCGTCCCGAGGTACCAGCCCCACGCGGCGCCCGAGCCCAAGAGCGCGGGCGCTGACCCCGCCCCCGGGTCCGCGGCCGCTTTAGCGCCACCTGCGGGCGCCGCCCGGCCTGGATGCGCTGTCCGCGCAGGTCCCAGGGGCCCCGTGTGGGGTTTCCTCTGTGTTGCAACCTGGCCGCTCCCGTCGATTTGTTTGTTTCTCGCTCAAATTGCCCTGCCCGCCCCCCCCCGCGGAGGTCGGCTGCACCCCCTCCTGCTCGCCTTTCTGCGATCTTCCAGTAACGAACCTTGGTGCCATGGTTCTCAAACGTTAACGTGCACCAACGGCGGGGCTTATAAGAACACCCCCCGCCCCCCACAACCGCCACAAACCCTTTCCAGCTCCGTGGGCCTGGGACGGGGCCTGAGGTTCTGCGTTTCTAACAAGTTCCCAGGTGATGCTGGAGCACGGTCAGTCCAGCCTTTGAGATGGATCATTTTAAAGCTCCGCTAGTCCATTTTACTTATGTGTTTATTTACTGAATTTATTGGGGGTACAGGTTTCGAGGGCACAACTCAATGAAGCATCATCTGCGCACTGCATCCTGCACCCATAGCCCCAGGCAAAGCCTCTTTCCCTCCCCATCCCTCCCCGCTCCCCACCTTCACCCACCACCGTGGCCACCCTTTCCCTCCGGCCATCACCTCACTGGTGTCTGTGTCTATGTGTTATTATGAACTTTTTTTTCTTAATTCCTTCACTTGCATTCAGTCCCTCAACCCTGCTCCCCTCTGACAGCTGTCGGTTGGTTCCACGTATGTATCCATGCCTCTGTTTCTATTTTGTCTTTATTTTGTTCATTGGATTCCACATATAAGTGAGGTTATATGGTCTTTGTCTTTCTCTGACTGGCTTATTTCACTTAGCATAATAATCTCCAGATCCATCCATGCTGTTACAAAAGGTAAGTTCTCTCTCTCTTTTTTTTAAAGGACCAAGTAGTATTCCATCATGTAAATGTACCACAGCTTTTGTTTGTTATCCTCACCTGATGATATTTTTTGCATTGATGTTTAGAGAGAGTGGAAAGGAATGAGGAGAGAGGGAGAGAGAAAGAGAGAGAAACATCCGTGTGAGAGAGGCACATGGATTGGTTGCCTCCGGCACCTGCAACCCAGGTATGTTCCCTTCACCGGGAAGTGAACCCGCCGCCGTTTGGTGCTTGGGCTGATGCTCTATCCACTGGACCACACCGACCAGGGCACCACAGCTTTTTATCCCTCCCACGACCCAGGCTGGCTGTGTCCCACTCGCGCTTCCACAAGGCTCCAGCTCGGCAGAGCAGGGCGGCCAGCTCAGGAGGACAGGGATAGTGGGTCCCCTGCTTGGGGGCAGGTGGTCAGGCACTGGATGGGGAGAATGGAGAATGCGGCCCCAGTCCAGAGCCTTTCCCCTCAGTCTCTGCTAGCGTCTCCATCTCTGCTCCCCCTGAGGAGCACACCAGGTTCAGTTGGTGCCGCCAGCTGCCGCCCTGCAGGAGGGAGCTCAGCAGGACGGGCCAGTGGGACCGGGCCTTGGGAGGGGCGAGCTGCACTCCTTCCCTTAGTTCTGCAGCCACAACTGCTTGAGCTCCAGACTGGATGGAGCCTCTGAGGGTAATTTTTTCCAACATCCCAGTTCTGAGAGGAGCCATCTTTCCTCCCTTCTCTCCTACCCACCCCCCCTACCCTAGACACACACACACACACACACACACACACACACACACACACACACACGGACTTGGAGGAATAGATCCAGGCAGGCCTCTGCTGGGGGTGGCACCAGCCTTCTGGAGGAGAGTGAGCTGCACAGGGACCCTGACTGGAGGCTCCAAGGCAGTTGCCCCAAAGGTTCCAGTTCTGAGCTGCATCCCCCCCCCTCCCCCCGCGGTACTGAGCTCAGCAGGATGGGGCCAGCGGGATTTGGGAATGCAGGTCAAGGTACCCCTCTCTGGCAGGAGGCGCTAGCCCTGGGGAGGGGAGCAAGCTGCACAGCTCCCCTTCACTGCACCGCCTCCACTGCCGCGGGCCAGGGACCCTGACAAGGGAGTCTTCTGTTGGGGGCGGCGCCTGCCTAACCCACGGGAGGGGCGAGTGTTTGGCCTCCATTCCAAAGCCACACAGTTCACTGGCCTCTGAGAGTCTTTCTGTAGCTTCGTAAGAAAAACAGTGCACCTCAAGTCCCTGTTGGGTGAAGCCAACAGTCCTTTGTGTGGGATGGACCTGGCAGGGTGGTGTTTGGAGGACAGGGTGACAGGGTTGGTGCATCCCCCCCCCCCCCCAGCTGGTGCTGTGAGAACAGGAGTGCCTGACCCTGGGAGCCGGTGCCTGAGGGCGGGGTGGGATGTGGACTCAGGGACCTCAGTAGCCAACCCTCCAGATCTCTCCTCAAACCTCGCCACCCAGATCGCCTCCTTATGGTTCTGTACGCCGAGTCGCCTGTCCTCTACCAGAGCCCAGGTGAGTGCCTTTAGGAGGGCGCCTGGGATTCTAGAGACACAGTCCCCACTGATTTTCGAGGCCAGATGCTGTGCAGGCTCTTTATCCCGGCTCTGGTGCTCTGATTTGGGGGTTCTGGCATGGGGCTGAGACCCCACACTCCTCAGGGGGGAGAGGGGGACTTTTGCAGGGAAGATAACCCTCTGGCCTCTCAGCCCTCGTGGGGTCTCCGCCCTCCTTTGCAGTCACGGCGAAACTGCTCTGTCAGTCCTTGGGTGTCACAGGCCTGCTCAGCTGTCCCTCAGTAGTCGCTCAGGTAGACTGCTCTGAAACTGAGCTGTGAATCCGCTTGGCGCTGGAAGGAGGGTGGGAGGAGGGGGGAGGAGGGGGGAGGAGGGGGGGAGGGGGTGTGCAGGTGCAGCTCCCCCCTGCTCACCCCCAGCTGGCTCCTGTTAAGCTCCGCAGCAGCTCTGTGAAGTGGCTGCTATGCACAGTTGAGGAACCCGAATCCAAGTCTCTGAGAGTGACTTCCCCCTTCAGCTGTCCAAATCTTGTACACATAAACCTCACACCCCATCCCCTAGCTGACTAAGCCCTTAAACCCCAGGTTTAGTCCTTCCCTTCATCCTCTCATCCCCTAACCCAGCACCCCAAACCTAAAGCAGAGCTGCTGCTGTTACTGGACAGGGCCCGGCCGCCTGCCTCCGGCCTGGAGTGTAGGCTCTTGACGCCCTGCGGTAAGGATGTCACAGCCTGAGCCCAGGTGACTGAGAGAACATGGGTTACAGCTGGGGCAGTGCGGCCCGAGGGACTTAGGGGAGGAGCAGCAGCAGGAGAGTCCAGGCTGTGCTCTGCTTTGGCTCCTAGAAACGTCACAGGAAGAAGTGAGCCAGGACAGGGCTGCTGTGAGCTCCTTGGGAAGGAAGGTCAGTGCTAGAGATGAGCAAGGAGGGCGGCTTCAGCTCCCTGGGAAGCCAGAGAACAAGGGGGCCTTGGAGACAGGATGGGGGTGAGCCTGGGCCGGGCTGCCGCTGCCCATGGCTCCCCTGTTTGCAAGTCTTGTGGGAACCTTTAGAGTTTAGGAAAAAATAAAAAGTTCATGCCCAAGAAGGGGACAGGCGTGCTCTAGGGAGCCTTCTTTATCCTGAGAGCTTTATATTCCTTTTGTTATTTTTTTGCAGGTGAGACTCTTAGGGCAGGGTTTCTGCAGAATATTCATTAGCTCTCCAGGTGTGTTTTTAATATGCGGATGCATCAAAATGAGCATATAGGGGAGTTGTGGATTATACTTGGTCAGTTTTGCTTTTATCTTAGGTCTGTCTGGCTTTATGGTTTTTGTTATTTGTTCCCTGACTTTGTCAGCTCTTGCGTTTAGCTGCCACACGTGGCATTAACTGGGTCTTTGTTCCCTATTTCCCAGACCAGGGTGATTTAAGCTCTGTATTCTATGGTTAGGGCAGGGAGGGTATCAATCATTTGCTTTCAAGTGCCCTTAGGTGGGAAAGATAAGGTCTTGTGATTCACAAGTTGTCCAAATTGTTTGGCCTTGCTTAATTTTCCTGTCTCAGGACCCATTTCACTTCCCCATGAATTTTCCTAGCTTCTTACTATCCTGCCTCACTGTCAGTAACATTGTAGGTCAGTGGTTGGCAAACCACGGCTCTTTGGCCCCTTGAGTGTGGCTCTTCTACAAAATACCACGTGTGGGCGCGCAGGTACAATGCCATTGAAGCTTTGTGGCCATGCGCAGAAATCGGTTTTCGGCCTGGGCGAGTCTATTTTGAAGAAGTGGCATTAGAAGAAGTGGGGGTACGTTCGCTGAGGTCGTTTTTAGCCAAGGCCAGTTTAGGAGTACCCTAATTAAGTTAATAACAATGTACCTACCTATATAGTTTAAGTTTAAAAAATTTGGCTCTCAAAAGAAATTTCAATCATTGTACTGTTGATATTTGGCTCTGTTGACTAATGAGTTTACCAACCACTGTTTTAGGTTGTTTTTAAAATATGAGGGATGTGGAGAAAGGGAGAATGTAAACCAGGGATTTACTCCTCTCCGTTGGCCCCAGCCTCAGGGAGCGTGTCAGGCCTGCTTGCAACATCGGGGGATTTGGTGTACAGTATTCCCAGAACTAGTCTGATTGGAAAAAGCAAAGGAAATAAATGCTCACCGCATTTTCCCTGATTGTCCTTTACTCATAGAAAGGGTGCCTGGGACTGTTCTTGCTTTAATGTTTATGGTTTTTTTTTGTTTTTTGTAGTCATTGACTTTCCACAAGGTAGTGTTAAAGCCCTTTGAAGATTAAATTACCATGGACTGACATCTTGTGGTAGGAATAGAATTTTACACTTTTCACTTCTAGTGAAACTAGAAAGTAACCATTTAAAAAAGCTTTAGGAAAAAAATCTATGTGTGTGTGTATTTACAGAACAGACTACAAAGAATTAAGACATTGTTAAATGTGTCTAGACATTGTTGAATTTTAAAAATTATTATGGGCCTTAAATGGTCAAACAAAG